GACATCTCCACTGCCTTGCTGCAGCATTTACAACCCAAGCTTCACATCCATATAAAAGTGTTAGTACCACCATACTTTCGTACATTCCCTTCTTTGCCTCCATGGATAATATTTTTTGTCTCCACAGATACCTCAACGCACCACTCACCTTTTTTTCTTCATCAATTCTATGGTTAACCTCATCCTTCATAAACCCATTTGCTGACAAGTTAACTCCCAAATATCTAAAAACATTCACTTCTTCCATACTCCCTCTATTAAATGTGATATCCAATTTTTCCTTATCTAAATCATTTGATACCCTCATCACCATACTTTTATCTACACTCACTTTCAACTTTCTACCATTACACACCCTCACAAACTCTTCCACTAACCTTTGTAATTTTTCTGTAGAATCTCCCAAAAGCACAGTATACCAGGTAAAGTGTACAGTAGGGTTATTATTGAAAGAATTAGAGGTAAGACAGAGAGTAGGATTGCAGATGAGCAAGGAGGCTTTAGAGTGGGTAAGGGATGTGTAGATCAAGTGTTTACACTGAAGCATATATGTAAACAGTATTCAGATAAAGGTAGGGAAGTTTTCATTGCATTTATGGATTTAGAAAAGGCATATGACAGAGTGCATAGGGGAACAATGTGGCAGATGTTGCAAGTGTGTGGAATAGGTAGTAAGTTACTAAATGCTGTAAATAGTTTTAATGAGGATAGTGAGGCTCAGGTTAGGGTGTGTAGGAGAGAGGGAGACTACTTCCCAGTAAAAGTAGGTCTAGACAGGGATGTGTAATGTCACCATGGTTGTCTAATATATTTATAGATGGGGTTGTGTAGGTAGTAGGTTGGTAGACAGCAACTGCCCAGGGAGGTACTACCATCCTGCCAAGTGATTGTAAAACATAATCCTGTAATTGCTTTATATGATGGTAGGATTGCTGGTGTCTTTTTTCTGTCTCTTAAACATTCAAGATTTCAGGTACGTCTTGCTACTTCTACCTACACTTGGGTCACACTACACATACATGTACAAGCATATATATACACACCTCTCTGGGTTTTCTTCTATTTTCTTTCTAGTTCTTGTTCTTGTTTATTTCCTCATATTTCCATGGGGAAGTGGAACAGAATTCTTCTTCCGTAAGCCATGCGTGTTGTAAGAGGCGACTAAAATGCCAGGAGCAAGGGCCTAGTAACCCCTTCTCCTGTATAAATTACTAAATTTAAAAAGAGAAACTTTCGTTTTTCTTTTTGGGCCACCCAGCCTTGGTGGGATACAGCCGATTTGTTGAAAAAAAAAAAGATGGGGTTCTAAAAAAGTAAATGCTAGGGTGTTGGGGAGAGGAGTGGGATTAAATTATGGAGAATCAAGTACAAAATGGGAGTTGACACAGTTACTTTTTGCTGTGCTTATGGGAGATTCTAAAGAAAAGTTGCGAAGGTTAGTGGACAAGTATGGGAGTGTGTGTAAAGGTAGAAAGTTGACAGTGAACATAGATAAGAGTAAGGTGATGAGGGTATTAAATGATTTAGATAAAGAAAAATTGGATATCACATTGGAGAGAGGGAGTATGGAAGAAGTGAATGTTTTCAGATATTTGGGAGTTGACTTATAAGTGGATGGGTTTATGACGGATGAGGTTAACCATGGAACTGGTGAAGGAAATAAGGCAAGTGGTGCGTTGAGGTATCTGTGGAGACAAAAAACGTTATCTATGGAGGCAAGAAGGGAATGTATGAAAGTATAGTGGTACCAACACTTATATCAGTGTGAAGCTTGGGTTGTAAATGCTGCAGCGAGAAGGCAGCTGGAAGCAGTGGAGATGTCCTGTCTAAGGGCAATGTGTGGTGTAAATATTATGCAGAGAATTCGGAGTGTGGAAATTAGGAGGTGTGGAGTTACTAAGGTTATTAGTCAGAGAGCTGAAGAAGGGTTGTTAAGGTGGTTTTTTCATTTAGAGAGAATGGATCAAGGTAGAATGACTTGGAGAGTGTATAAATCTGTAGGGAGGGGAGGGAGGGGTAGAGGTCATCCTCAAAGAGGTTGGAGGGAGGGGGTAAAGGAGGTTTTGTGGGCTAGGGGCTTGGACTTCCAGCAAGCATGCGTGAGCATGTTAGATAGAAGTGAGCGGAAACGAAAGGTTTTGGGACTTGACGAGCTGTTAGTGTGAGCAGGGTAATGTTTAGTGAGGGAACTCAGGGAAACCGGTTATTATAGATTTAGCTGGACTTGAGTCCTGGAAATGGGAAGAACAATGCCCACACTTTAAAGGAGGGGTCTGGGATACTGACAGTGTGGAGGGCCTTCTAAACTGTCATATCTGACTGCCTCTGCAAAGACAGTGATTATGTAAGAGGTGAAAGTGTTGAATGATGTAAGTATTTTTCTTTTTGGGTATTTTCTTTCTTTTTGGGTCACCCTGCCTTGGTGGGAGCCAGCCGACGTTAAAAAAAAAAAAAAGTATATGCTTCAATGTAAACACTTGATCTACACATCCCCTACCCACTCTAAAGCCTCCTTGCTCATCTGCAATCCTGCTCTCTGTCTTAACACTAATTCTTTCAGTAATAACCCTGCTGTACACTTCACCTGGTATACTCAATAAACTTATTCCCCTACAATTTTTACAATCTCTTTTGTCCCCTTCCCTTTATATAATGGAACTATATACGCTCTCAGCCAATCCCTAGGTACCTTCCCCTCTTTCATACATTTATTAAACAGAAATACCAACCACTCCAACACTATATTTCCCCCTGCTTTCAACATTTCTGTCATGATTGGTTATTTTTTTTTTCAATAAGTCGGCCGTCTCCCACCGAGGCAGGGTGACCCAAAGAGAAAGAAAATTCCCAAAAAAGAAAATACTTTCATCATCATTCAACACTTTCACCTCGCTCACACATAATCACTGTTTTTGCAGAGGTGCCCATAATACAACAGTTTAGAAGTATATACGTATAAAAACACACAACATATCTCTCCAAACTGCCAGTATCCCAAACCCCTCCTATAGAGTGCAGGCATTGTACTTCCCATTTCCAGGACTCAAGTCCGGTTATATAAAATAACCGGTTTCCCTGAATCCCTTCACTAAATATTACCCTGCTCACACTCCAACAGATCGTCAGGTCCCAAATACCATTTGTCTCCATTCACTCCTATCTAACACACTCACGTACACTTGTTGATTGGTTATATACAGTACTAATTTTTCAGAACACTCTGGACTTGGGTACCATATTTTAATAATGTTTTATAGAAAACACTTTGAATGAATGTTTACTGGGGTTTCTACTGTATTCATGAATAACCCAAAAAGCTAATAATTGCTATGAATTCTACAGAGGCATGGCAATTTTAATCTATTAATTTAACTAAACTGGATAATTCAAGATTAAGTACTTGTACTTACAATTTTAAATAACCGAAGCATATAAGAGATTTTACATCTGAACTGTGATGTTAGCACATTTCTGGTAAGACAGCAAGACTGAATGAATGACACTGATTATGTTTCCTTTTTTATGTGTCACCCTACCTTGATGAGAGATGGTTGGTGTGTTAAAAAAAAAAGCCAGTTAGTATCTTAGAACCAAATGATACAATATGTTCAAGGTTTACTGAGTAGCTCGTTAACCAAATGAAGACTGCACAAGTGTCAGTTAAATTTAAATTGTTAAAATTTGGTGTAATATCATAAGCAGCCTGTATTCTTGATTCATACAAGAGTAAACAGGTATCAATTAACCCTTTCAGGGTCCAGAGGCCAAATTTCAAAGTGTTCACCAGGGTCCAAGAATTTTCAAAAAAAAATTTTGTTATTTTTTCTTATGAAATGGTAGAGAATCTTTTTCTGGAGGTAATAAAACAAAAAGTATGAAATTTGATGGAAAATTGACGAAATTATGCTCTCGCGAATTTTGATGTGTCAGCGATATTTACGAATCGGCGATTTTGTCAACTTCGACTCCCATTTTAGGCCAATTACATTATTCCAGTCGATCAAATTCTTAGCTATTTCACTAGTATTACTTCTATTCTATTGACTGAGCACAAGAAATCGCCCAGTCAACTGTTTCAACTACAAAATAAAGTGATCGGAAATTGGTAATTTGGCCAATTAAACACAAAGTTCAAAATATTCCAATTTCAAAATAGGGTCCAGAACAAACAATGCAGGCATTCCTAGCACTAAAATAACATTTCCTCTGTTCATTAGTTATGTTTTCAAGCTTTACAAATGAATTCCATTTTGATTTTTTATTCACATAATGAATTTTTATTCAAACCAAAAAATAGAAGATTTACTGTTATGCAGTATTGTAATAATTGTATAAATATCATCACCACATTTGTGAATGTATATAAGACCTACCAGCTGGCGTGTATTAGACGTGTGAGGTCGTTTGTTTACTCTTGAACATCGACAAAAATTTAACATTTCCGCTACTTTGAGCTCAGTTTCAAGCAATTTCCAGTAATAAAACCAATCAAAATATCTCTACTTCTGTAATACATCTTCCATTCTATCAAATGAAACCAAGAAATCGCAAATACAACTATAAAGAACATATGAAAAAGCACTGCAAAGTCACTGTTTTAATCGAAAATCACGGTCTCAGTTTTTTTTTCTCTCATTATACACTGTGTGCTGCAGGATTTGTTTTATGTGGTGCACACATACCACATAGATGTATTCTCTCATATCTAGGCCCAAATTTACCACTCACAGCTTATCAGAGTGAGCTGAGCTCATGGCGTAGATCTACGGTTTGGACCCTGAACATAAAGCCGTAGATCTACGGCATGGACCCTGAAAGGGTTTAAACACAGTACATGAAAATAATTTGTATCTTGTAAAAATTTTTGGAAAAACTATCCCAAAGAACCTACAGTACACTGAAATGAAACAATTTTAATGTGAGACGTGGACAGTAAATGTAACTAACCACACAACTGTCAGTGCTGCATATTTACATGTCACTGGAAAAAAAAAACTTACGCTGTTTTACTTTCTTCCTGAAGCTGTAAGGTGTTCTAACTTCCTGCACAACTCCTGATAGCCTTCTTGTACTCCTTGGGGTTGTAAATCCACCTGCAAAACATGTTGGAATTATTACAGAGATATCCCACACTGTTTAAGCATTTAGAATTTCTTTCATTTTATACTACAAACCATTTGCATACCTATATACATTAGGGCCCCACCTGTATGGCAGGTTAGGTTCCAGGCTACCACCGGAAAGCGGACATCGCCAGAAAGTGGAACGCCATTTTTTCCACTTATAAATGCATTTAAATGCCACATAAGTTTACACTAACATATATTACATTAGCAATAGAACTAGGCATTAAAAACAATAAAAGGTAAAATACACACACAGTACACCCATTACTTACCTTAAAATATTTGTAGTTTTAATGTAGGGTGAGTGGGTAGGGGATGTGTAGATCAAGTGTTTACAGTGAAGCATATATGTGAACAGTATTAAGATAAAGGTAGGGAAGTTTTTATTGCATTTATGGATTTAGAAAATGCATATGATACAGTGGATAGAGGAGCAATGTGGCAGATGTTGCAAGTATATGGAATAGGTGGTAAGTTATTAAATGCTGTAAAGAGTTTTTATGAGGATAGTGAGGCTCAGGTTAGGGTGTGTAGAAGAGAGGGAGACTACTTCCCGGTAAAAGTAGGTCTTAGACAGGGATGTGTAATGTCACCATGGTTGTTTAATATATTTATAGATGGGGTTGTAAAGGAAGTAAATGCTAGGGTGTTCGGGAGAGGGGTGGGATTAAATTTTGGGGAATCAAATTCAAAATGGGAATTGACACAGTTACTTTTTGCTGATGATACTGTGCTTATGGGAGATTCTAAAGAAAAATTGCAAAGGTTAGTGGATGAGTTTGGGAATGTGTGTAAAGGTAGAAAGTTGAAAGTGAACATAGAAAAGAGTAAGGTGATGAGGGTATCAAATGATTTAGATAAAGAAAAATTGGATATCAAATTGGGGAGGAGGAGTATGGAAGAAGTGAATGTTTTCAGATACTTGGGAGTTGACGTGTCGGCGGATGGATTTATGAAGGATGAGGTTAATCATAGAATTGATGAGGGAAAAAAGGTGAGTGGTGCGTTGAGGTATATGTGGAGTCAAAAAACATTATCTATGGAGGCAAAGAAGGGAATGTATGAAAGTATAGTAGTACCAACACTCTTATATGGGTGTGAAGCTTGGGTGGTAAATGCAGCAGCGAGGAGACGGTTGGAGGCAGTGGACATGTCCTGTTTAAGGGCAATGTGTGGTGTAAATATTATGCAGAAAATTCAGAGTGTGGAAATTAGGAGGAGGTGTGGAGTTAATAAAAGTATTAGTCAGAGGGCAGAGGAGGGGTTGTTGAGGTGGTTTGGTCATTTAGAGAGAATGGATCAAAGTAGAATGGCATGGAAAGCATATAAATCTATAGGGGAAGGAAGGCGGGGTAGGGGTCGTCCTCGAAAGGGTTGGAGAGAGGGGGTAAAGGTGGTTTTGGGGGCAAGGGGCTTGGACTTCCAGCAAGCGTGCGTGAGCGTGTTAGATAGGAGTGAATGGAGACGAATGGTACTTGGGCCCTGACGATCTGTTGGAGTGTGAGCAGGGTAATATTTAGTGAAGGGATTCAGGGAAACCGGTTATTTTCATATAGTCGGACTTGAGTCCTGGAAATGGGAAGTACGTACAATGCCTGCACTTTAAAGGAGGGGTTTGGGATATTGGCAGTTTGGAGGGATATGTTGTGTATCTTTATATGTGTATGCTTCTAAACTGTTGCATTCTGAGCACCTCTGCAAAAACAGTGATAATGTGCAAAAGTGGTGAAAGTGTTGAATGATGATGAAAGTATTTTCTTTTTGGGGATTTTCTTTCTTTTTTGGGTCACCCTGCCTCGGTGGGAGACGGCCGACTTGTTGAAAAGAAAAAAAAAAAAAAAAGCTGTTTCTTGAACACACTGGGATTTTCAGAGTGATACACGAGTAAAGGCTTCGCTTTGAAATCCCCACTTGCATTACCACACAACAAGAGAGTTAGCCTATCTTTCATAGGCTTGTGTCCTGGGAGTGCCTTTTCCTCCTGTGTGATGTAGGTCCTCTTTGGCATTTTCTTCCAAAACAGGCCTGTTTTGTCACAACTGAACACTTGCTGGCATTGGAATTTTTCAGCCTCTACATAACCCTTGAATTCCCACACGAATTTTTCAGCTACTTGTTTGTCTGAACTAACACCCTCACCATGCCTTACAACACTGTGTATGCCATTATGCTTCTTGAATTTTTCAAACCAGCCTGTGCCAGCCTTAAATTCACCAAAATCAACATTCGTTTCAAGCAGTTTCTTTATGAGATCGCCATGCAACTGCCTTGCCTTTTCACATATTATTGACTGCACAACACTATCTCCTGCTAACTCTTTCTCTCCGACCCACACCAACAACAATTTCTCCATTTCTTCAATTGTTTGGGATCTCTGTTTGGTTATCGCATTCACCCCTTTCGCAACATCAGCTTTCGTGATTTCTTTTGTCTTTGCCACAATGGAGCTGGTGGTTGATAACGCCTTCCCATACATCGTGCCGAGTTCAGCAATGCGTATGCCACTATCATATTTCTGAACAATTTCTTTTTTCATTTCTACGGTATTCCTCACTTTCTTTACCAAAGAACTGGCACTAGGAGCTTTCTTTGGGTCCATGGTGGCTTATTTAGCAGTCACACACAATAAACAAGTGCCAAAAACAATGGATTATTAAGAAATGTTTCATATGACCTGGCAGGATATGTTCACTCACGGAGAAACAACTCTACACTGCCTGAGAATGTGTGTGAGGGAGGTGGCTTTGTCTGCGTGCTGGGCACTGGACAGGTTCCGTACAATTGACAAAAATGGAGGAAATCAACGAAAACGGAACCAAAATTTCGACGAACATAGTCGACGAAAATGGAAATCGGCGATATCAGAGAACAACGAAAAGGAGGGTCCACTGTACATTCATTAATTACCTTAAAATATTTGTAGTCTTAATGTAGGGTGAGAGGTGAGTAATGAAGTAAAACGAATAAACAGGAGAGAGAGAACGAGTAAATGAGAGAGTAGAGAGACGTGGAGGATGTAAACAAACACGAACGCGTCTGGTTATGGTTGATACACATTTATCTACACCTAACATCTTATATTTATATTAATTTATTCCACTGTGTGTGTATTTATCATGTTTATATGTTACATAGCATGTTTATTATATAATGTTGAAAAAATATCATAGATGAAGTAATGAAAATGTTCATGTTAACATAATAGTATATGACATGTAATGCACCTCAGAGTGATTATTATTGTGTATTATTGTGTATTATTATTATTATTATTATTATTATTATTATTATTATTATTATTATTGCATCCTCAAAATTAATAAGACACTCTTAGTGATTTTAATGTGTACCTGCATGCCAGCACAGTATGTAAGTTTAGTTAGGTACAGGTACACATAAGTATAATTATCAGAGTTTATATAAAATACAGTGGACCTTTGAATTTCATGATTAATCCATTCCAGAGAGTCTGCCGAAATTCAAAATTCACAATTTTCAAAACCATTTTTCCCATAAGAAATAATGTAAATCAAATTAATCCATTCCAGATACCCAAAAGTATTAAAAAAATATTTTTTTTACATTAAATGTACATTTATCTACACAGAAAACAATGAGACATGAAGAATAAAACAATAATAACTTTGACACTTACCTTTATTGAAGAGTTGTTGATGTGTGGAAGACGAGAGGAGGAGAGAGGATGGAGGAGTTGCTACTGTTTGGAAGGAAAATCCCCTTCCATAAAGACTTCAGGTACCAAGTTCTTCTTGGGGTTACTTCCCTTCTTTGTTTTTTAATGCCACTAGGACCAGCTTGAGAGCCACTGGACCCCTGTCACTCAAAAAATTTTTCCAGAAAGGTCTGTTTCTGGTGCTTCTTTAAAATTTGCCTAAAATGAGACAAGACACTGTCATTGAACATGTTACATACACGGCCTGCAACAGCTTTGTCAGGGTGATGTTCCTCCACAAATCTTTCCATCCTAGTCCACATTGCACACATCTCCTTATTCTCTGAAGAAAGCAACTTCTTCCCTCTCTCTTCCTCCTCCTCTGAAGCAATTTCCTGAGTTGTGGTCTGTTGCTGTTGCAGATTAAGGTCTAGCAGCTCTTCAGTGGTTAGCTCTTCATCATGATCCTCCACCAACTCTTCCACATCCTCGCCACTAACCTCCACCCCCAATGACTTCCCGAATGCCACAATAGATTCTACAACTGGCATAGGTTTGTCAGGGTCAGCCTCAAACCCTTCAAAATCTTTGCCGAGGACACATTCTGGCCACAATTTTCTCCAAGCAGAGTTCTTCGTCCTGGAAGTCACTCCCTGCCAAGCCTTACCTATAAGGTTTATGCAAATGAGGATATTGAAGTGATCTTTCCAGAACTCTCTTAGGGTCAATTCAGAGTCCGAGGTTATGTTAAAGCACCTTTGAAACATTGCTTTGGTGTAGAGCTTTTAGAAGTTTGAAATGATCTGCTGGTCCATGGGCTGGAGGAGAGTGGTATTAGGGGGCAAGAACTTCACTGTGATGAAATTAAACTCCTTCACCATTTGCTCTTCCAAGTCTGGAGGATGAGCAGGAGCAATGTCTATTACCAGGAGGCATTTCATATGACTGCCGATTTCTAAGCCAAGTCACAAAAATCGAGCCAATATTTTGATGAAAAAAGTCGCTGATTTCCAAAATTCATGATATTCAAGGGGGACAAAATTCAAGGGTACTCTGCATGAAATAACTTTAAAACACTTGAAATTTTGGAAAGTTTCCAAATATCATGGAGAGTCGTGCTCACAGAGAATGCAAACAAACCAGGTGGGGCGCGGTGGACATATTAGAAAGACAGGGGGAGCCGTACAGCGAGTTTTGGCCATAATTTGAAAAGTCCGTATTAGTGAAACGCCGTAAAGCGGGGCCCTACTGTACAGTATTTTTAAAGTGTATGGTGGCTAACATTATATAAGGTAGTATACAGTATTATAAACATGGAAAGTACAATTGTGCAAAATAGAAAGTTCTTCATTTCATAGCTTTTTTCTGCACTTATCTTCACTCAAAATACAGATATGTGAACAGTAAAGTTAGGAGCTAAAAGCTGATAAGTAAAAAAAATTTAGATAGGTACAATAAAAAGCAGAAACATATACTGCCTCCAGGGAGGTAGACAACATAGGTGCACCTATATGTATATGGAAACTAAACATAATCTTGAGATGTGTCTTCTGTATTACTAGATGCCAATATGGCATCCAGTAATACAGACTTCCAGTAATACTGGATGCCAATATGGCAATGGCAGCAACCAATAACCATATCCTCCACACACAGGCTCTTTACTAGAACAGTATAGGACAAGTAGAAACTGAGCCACAGACATATTAGGAAACAAGTTTTCACCGGAGAAAATGAAATAAGCTAGATAATATATCAACACTGTAGAAGTGTACACTACATAGGGGTTCAGATGCAACCACAATACTGTATAGCTATTTCACATTAGTGAATAAAAAGTTAGAATGCAGGTCCATAAGCTGCAGCTCATCCTCCACAAACTCAAAATAGGTAATCACACAAGTAGCACAGGAACAAAAGAGCAAGGAAGGAATACAGTGTGAACACTACCCACAGAAAAACAAGCAGGAATAGAAATGATTTCCTGAAAAAAGGTAAGTGGGGAGAGGGAATTCAAAATGAATAACAAAGCAATAAAAGAGTTAAGCTACTTCATAGCCATATAATTTTTTTTATTTATTAACACACTGGCCGATTCCCACCAAGGCAGGGTGGCCCGAAAAAAGAAAAACTTTCACCATCATTCACTCCATCACTGTCTTGCCAGAAGGGTGCTTTACACTACAGTTTTTAAACTGCAACATTAACACCCCTCCTTCAGAGTGCAGGCACTGTACTTCCCATCTCCAGGACTCAAGTCTGGCCTGCCGGTTTCCCTGAACCCCTTCATAAATGTTACTTTGCTCACACTCCAACAGCACGTCAAGTATTAAAAACCATTTGTCTCCATTCACTCCTATCAAACACGCTCACGCATGCCTGCTGGAAGTCCAAGCCCCTCGCACACAAAACCTCCTTTACCCCCTCCCTCCAACCTTTCCTAGGCCAACCCCTACCCCGCCTTCCTTCCACTACATACTGATACACTCTTGAAGTCACTCTGTTTCATTCCATTCTCTCTACATGTCCGAACCACCTCAAGAACCCTTCCTCAGCCATCTGGACAACAGTTTTGGTAATCCCGCACCTCCTCCTAACTTCCAAACTGCGAATTCTCTGCATTATATTCACACCACACATTGCCCTCAGACATGACATCTCCACTGCCTCCAGCCTTCTCCTCGCTGCAACATTCATCACCCGTGCTTCACACCCATATAAGAGCGTTGGTAACACTATACTCTCATACATTCCCCTCTTTGCCTCCAAGGACAAAGTTCTTTGTCTCCACAGACTCCTAAGTGCACCACTCACCCTTTTCCCCTCATCAATTCTATGATTCACCTCATCTTTCATAGACCCATCCGCTGACACGTCCACTCCCAAATATCTGAATACATTCACCTCCTCCATACTCTCTCCCTCCAATCTGATATCCAATCTTTCATCACCTAATCTTTTTGTTATCCTCATAACCTTACTCTTTCCTGTATTCACTTTTAATTTTCTTCTTTTGCACACCCTACCAAATTCATCCACCAATCTCTGCAACTTCTCTTCAGAATCTCCCAAGAGCACGGTGTCATCAGCAAAGAGCAACTGTGATAACTCCCACTTTATGTGTGATTCTTTATCTTTTAACTCCACGCCTCTTGCCAAGACCCTCGCATTTACTTCTCTTACAACCCCATCTATAAATATATTAAACAACCACGGTGACATCACACATCCCTGTCTAAGGCCTACTTTTACTGGGAAATAATTTCCCTCTTTCCTACATACTCTAACTTGAGCCTCACTATCCTCGTAAAAATTCTTCACTGCTTTCAGTAACCTACCTCCTACACCATACACCTGCAACATCTGCCATATTGCCCCCCTATCCACCCTGTCATACACCTTTTCCAAATCCATAAATGCCACAAAGACCTCTTCAGCCTTATACAAATACTGTTCACTTATATGTTTCACTGTAAACACCTGGTCCACACACCCCCTACCTTTCCTAAAGCCTCCTTGTTCATCTGCTATCCTATTCTCTGTCTTACTCTTAATTCTTTCAATAACAACTCTACCATACACTTTACCAGGTATACTCAACAGACTTATCCCCCTATAATTTTTGCACTCTCTTTTGTCCCCTTTGCCTTTATACAAAGGAACTATGCATGCTCTCTGCCAATCCCTAGGTACCTTACCCTCTTCCATACATTTATTAAATAATTGCCCCAACCACTCCAAAACTATATCCCCACCTGCTTTTAACATTTCTATCTTTATCCCATCAATCCCAGCTGCCTTACACCCTTTCATTTTACCTACTGCCTCACGAACTTCCCCCACACTCACAACTGGCTCTTCCTCACTCCTAAAGATGTTATTCCTCCTTGCCCTATACACAAAATCACAGCCATATAATACAAAAAAAAAAAAAGTCAGTAAAAGTTGAGGTGATAGAGCTGAGAAAAGATGGTTGACTAACTGTAGATTATGAGAGAGAGGTATGTGAGGAATTTAGTAGAATATTCTAGTTTTTTCTAAGGTGAGTATGGACCATGATCAAAAGCAAAAAGGACTCGCACAGAGAAAACAAGTAAGGAAATAATGAAGTTCCTGAAGGTACTCTATAAATACAAGACAACATAATATCTCACTGGACATCAAAAGGACTATCAGGATATACAAATATCACTATAGACAAGGGAATTCTACCTCAGTGGGAGATGACCTGTGTAAAAAAAAAAAAAAAAAGCATGGGAACTTCCAGATACCTGCAAGATAGAAATTGTATGTTCAATATGCAAGAAGACTGGAATAAAGCCATAAATTACAGACCCTTATCCTTGACATTTATTATTAGTATTCTTCTTATTATTATTACACTCATGGGGAGAGGGCTAAGCCCATAGTGGTCATATACAGCCAGGGGGAATCGGGTGCAATCTAGTCCTCGACAAGTATACTATGCAGTGTACATAATAGAAAGATACGAGGAAAACTAATAAGACACCTAGGCAACATCATAAGTGCCTAAAAAAGTATTAACATTGCTTAAAAAATGGGAAGTCTATCTCCCAAGCCTAAAAACCTATCAATGATTAAAGAATACCTGAATGACCAGAAACAAGAAGTCTCAGTGAGGATGGAATGTTACATGAGCAATACAACTTGCTGTGTGGCCTAGGGATGAGTGCTAGACCCTACATGGCTATCAAATGAATCTTAAAACTTCCTAGTGGGGTAGACTCCTACATATTTCTCACCTAACAGGTAAGAAAAACATATTTCAATATTTATGGGTATACAGAAGACAAAACCTGAAAGAATTATACAAAAACAATCAAATGGCTACAACAGTTACCATGTAGCATATGTACTCAAGTAATGAAAATGGCCACAAGGGAAATCTGAAAATAGTCAAGGACAAATGACAAAATCTTAGGAGCAACTATCACAATAAATATGTCCCCCACAAGCACACAAAAAAAATAACATTAGCAAGTATATGATAGGAAAGTAAGGAGAAAAAATAAAAGAGTCTTCAGAAATCTTGATATAGGCTCAAACTACAGGTCACTTCTAACTAATGTGTACAATTGGTCCTTAAGTATAAAGCACTACTGTGGAATCCCCCATTTAGTTAGATGCAATGGAAACTTGTAGCAAGTTTAAAGGTATGCACCCAGACTAGTATACAGGAGCAGAAATAGTCGAGCTATGAGGAAGGTTTGCAAGAGCTACATTTTCATAAGACTGGCATTACAGAGCAAGATCAACAACACAAACTTTTTGAATCTGTGCTTGGCCTCTTTGGAGTTGTCGGAGTACTTGGGTACTGCTTCAAGGATGATTTAGGAGTTTTTGGGGTCGATGGAGAACCATATTTCTTCTTTACAGATTCAGCCTTCTCCAGCATGCCCCATTTTTTTTTTGGTGTGCAAAAACCAAAGACAGAGCTACCTTTGAGAGGGCTTTCTCCAAGTAATTCTGAAAAGTTAAAAGTTACATAATAAAAATACATAGTATATTCATGGAGAAAGTGGAAAAGAATCCTTCCTCAATATGCCATACATGTCATAAGAGGCAACTAAAATGCCGGGAGCAAGGGGCTAGTAACCCTTTCTCCTGTATATAATACTAAATGTAAAAAGTGTGTCTTCTTTTTTGAGTCACCCTGCCTTGGTGGGAGATGGCCGGTGTTAAAAAACACATAACATGAAATTAGCACTATGAATTAGCATGGTTTGCCTTGGATGTCCATGGAAGGAATATCAAATGAGAAATAAAGAAATATACTTTTTCCCAATGACAGGTACATTTGTCTCACAACTGGTGAACAGAGAATCTAGCCATCATAACTTCAGATAATTACTGTACTTGGCAGGCGGTAGTATTTGATAATCTGTTTCATTTTCTCTATGTCCACACCAGCCCAATGAGTTAAATAATGTCTGAAAGATACTCTTTCATGAGAAAAGCCTTAGCTTATGACATGTAAAAAGGAAGAAATAAAACTAGAGATGAAAGGAGACATGCTGTTTTTTCAACAAAACTAGAAATACCAATAACACTCTGGGAAAATATCAGAATCAAGGATGAGCTAAAGCTGATTATAACCACCATGGCATCTTTCAATCAAGTATCTAGGCAGAAATAATACCTATAGTGTAGTACTCAACAGCAAGTGCTACACATTCAGGAGGATAACCCTGTACAATCAAATAGCCATGTGATATTCAGACATATTGCCACAGGCAAACCTTCTTTATTCCTGAAGCGTGATGCAGTCATCAGAATTATCACAGCAATGCCGCTTAGCAACAAGAGCAGCATTGCCAAATCAATTTTACTTTGGCTTAAACAGTGCTAAGATATAAAAGACCCTTCTATTCATACAATGTACTTTTGTAACATCCCTAAAAATATCTATGTAGATTAAATCAGACTACTGTATATCAATTTAAGCTTTTTTGTCTTTTCTTTCTGGTTATTACATGAGAGTATATTTATACCAATGCTCCTATATGGGTGTGAAGCACGGGTGGCGAATGTTGCAACAAGGAGAAGGCTGGAGGTCATGGAGATGTTGTGCTTGAGGGCAATGTGTGATGTGAATATAATGCAGAGAATTCGTAGTTTGGAAATTAGGAGGAGGTGCGGGATTACCAAAACTATTATCCAGCGAGCTGAGGGGTTGCTGAGGTGGTTCGACATGTAGAGAGAATGGAACAAAATAGAATGACTTCAAGAGTGTATAAATCTGTAGTGGAGGGAAGGTGGGGTAGCGGTCAGCCTAGGAAAGGTTGGGGGAAGGGGGTAAAGGAGGTTTTGTGTGCAAGGGGCTTGAACTTCCAGCAAGCATGCATGAGTGTGTTAGATAGGAGTGAATGGAGACAAATGGTTTTTAGGACTTGATGTGCTGTTGGAGTGTGAGCAAGGTAACATTTATGAAGGGATTCAGGGAAACTGGCAGGCTGGACTTGAGTGCTGGAGATGGGAAGTACAGTGCCGGCACTCTGAAGGAGGGGTGTTAATGTTGCAGTTTTATAACTGTAGTGTAAGCATGCCTCTGGCAAGACAGTGATGGAGTGAATGATGATGAAAGCTTCTCTTTTTCGGGCCACCCTGCCTTGGTGGGAAACAGCAGATGTGTTAAAAAAATAAAAAATGCACAAAAAAGAATTATCAGTCTCATTTCAGGCAATTTTGTTGCCATATACGTAACACAGATATGGCTTTGAGGGGGCAATGACTCTAACCCACTTTCTACAAGGAAATGAAAAGGAAATTTAACTGGTTTTGAATAAAACTAGACATTAATAAGATTAACTGCTATTTTAATGCTCATGAGACAGAGGATATATGAAATAATAGTGTAATCCTGAAAGAGAGAGAATACCATATGTTTAACAAGAATGTTATTAACTTGTATGACAGGGGAGGAGTATAGTACCTTCCTTGACAATTACTATCTACGTAAGCTATTATAAATGCCAAATTTAAAAGCCTTACTAGTAGTTAACTCAGCACCCATTTTTCAAGTATAATTACCATATGTCACTGGCTTTAAAACAATCAAAACCAGAGTAAGCATTATTGGTAGGTAACTATTACATTAAGTATGTTCAAAATAAGTTAAAAGAAACCTAAATAAAGATATGACCTTAAACGTTTATCTTTAAAATAATAAAGAAAAAATTAATAAAGACATGAACATAAATTTGCCTAGGTGTTTAAATATTTTGCAATGTTATTTTTATCATGCACAGAATCTTTAAGTGCCATAAGAAACTATCCAAACCTGTTGGTTTATAGAAAATGTCTACAACTTCCTCATCCATTTCTTGCAGTGGGGGTAATTCTATGGTGTCTCCAGCAGAGGTCCTAGAACCCATAGTAAGTCTGCCAGAGCCACGCTGAGATAGAGGTATTGGTGTTCCTGTAAAAGTATAACTATGTTAAGAGCCATCAATTACATTATACTATACTATACAGCAGCAATGAAGAGCATTTTAGATGTTCTTACATGCCTCAATTTTAGAACAATAGTACAGTGGAACCTCGAGTTTTGTACTTAATCCGTTCCAGGAGCTAGTACTAAAGTCGAAACGTACTAAAGTCTAAGCAATATTTCCCATAAGAAATAATTAATCCGTTCCAGACCCACAAAAATATTCACAAAAAATACATTTTTTTTGAGAATAACTATAGTTTTACATACACACAACACAGATAAAATTTTTTTTTTCAACAAACTGGCCATATCCCACCAAGGCAGGGTGGCCCAAAAAGAAAAACAAAAGTTTCTCTTTTTAAATTTCGTAATTTCTACAAGAGAAGGGGTTACCAGCCAACACGCATATTACTTAAATCAGTAATACAATAGATAAATAAAACACTTAAATAAACATTTAAAACAACATTTACTTACCTTTATTGAAGACTGTGGCTGGCATCTGAAGACAGGAAGGAGGAGTGAGGGAGCACTTATTGTTTGGAAGGGGAATCCCCTTCCTTAAAGACTTTAGGTAACAAGTCCTTATCTGGGGTTACTTCCCATCTTTGTCTTTCAATGCTACTAGGACCAGCTTGAGGGTCACTGGACCCCTGTCTCACAAAATAACTGTCCATAGTCCTCTGTCTCTTGCACCTCTTTAAGATTTCCCTAAAATGGGACATGGTTCTGTCACTGAACTTGTTGCAGATTGGTCAGGGTGATATTTTTCAGCAAATGCCTGCACCTTATTCCACATTGCAGAAATCTCTTTAATCTATGAAGAAGGCACCTCATCCACTCCCTCTTCCTCCTCCTCTGAAGCAAGTTCCTTAGCTGTGATCTGATGCTGTTCCAAATGAAACTCTTGCAGCTCTTCAGTTGTTACCTTTTCCCTGTAGTCGTCCACCAACTCTTCGACATCCTCGCCACTCACCTTCAACCCCATGGATTTCCCCAGTGCCACAATACCTTCCACAACAGGCAGAGGGTCGGCAGGGTCAGGGTCAGCCTCACACCCTTCAAAATCCCTCTTTTGGACACAATCTAGTCACAACTGTCTCCAAGCAGAGTACAAAGTCCTGGAAGTCACTCCCTCCTAAGCCTTACTTATAAGGCTTATGCAATTGTAGATATTGAAGTAATTCTTCCAGAACTCTCTTAGAGTCAACTGAGTGTCTGAGGTCACATCAAAGCACTTCTGAAACACTGCTTTGGTGTAGTTTTTTTTTGAAGTTAGAATTGACCTGCTGGTCCATGGTCTGGAGGAGAGGAGTGGTGTGAGGAGGCAAGAATTTCACTGTGATGAAACCGAATTCCCTAAACAATAGGTCTATCAAGTTTGGAGGGTGTGCAGGAGCATTGTCCAGTAACAGGAGGCACTTGAGTGGCAAATTTTTTCCAGGAGGTATTTTTTCACACTTGGGCCAAACTCTTCATGGACCCACTCTATGAAAATTTGCCTTGTGACCCATGCCTCATTATTAGCTTTCTACAACACACACAATCTATTCTTGCCGACATTGTTTTTCTTGAACACTCTTGGATTTTCTGAGTGATACATCAGTAAAGGCTTCACTTTAAAATCTCCACTAGCATTAGCACAGAACAAGAGAGTTAGCCTGTCTTTCATAAGCATGTGTCCTGACAGTGCCTTTTCCTCCTGTGTTTTGTAGGTCCTCTCTGGCATTTTCTTCCAAAACAGGCCTGTTTCATCACAACTGAACACTTGTTGGGGTTTGAATTTTTCAGTCTCTATGTACCTCTTGAATTCACGCACATATTTTTTCAGCTGCCAACTTGTCAGAACTGGCAGCCTCACCATGCCTTACAATACTGTGTATGCCACTACATTTCTTAAATCTGTCAAACCAGCCTCTGCTGGCCTTTAAGTCACTAACAGCAGCACTCGTTCCAGGCAGTTTCTTTATGAGATCGTCATGCAACTGTCTTGCCTTTTCACAAATGATCAACTTCAAAACACTATCACCTGCTCTCTGTTTACTGTCGATCCAAACTAGCAACAACTTCTCAACATCTTTGACTATTTTTGGTTAGCTTATCAACACCTTTTACAATATCAGCTTCCTTGATTTCTTTTCTCTTTGTCAGGATAGAAGCAATTGTTGATTTGCTTTTGCCATATATCCTGGCAAGCTCCACAAGTCGCACACAACTCTCGTAATTTTTGTACTATCTCCTTCTTCACTTCTATGGTGTTTCTCACTTTCTTTACCACAGGGGTGCCACTAGCAGACTTCTTTGGGCCCTTGGTAGCTTATTTCACAGTCGCACTTAACCCTTTCAGGGTCCAAGGCCCAAATCTGGAGTCACGCACCAGTGTCCAAGAATTTTCAAAAAAAAAATTTGTTATTTTTTCTTATGAAATCGTAGAGAATCTTTTTGTGAAGGTAATAAAACAAAAAGTACGAAATTTGGTGGAAAATTGACGAAATTATGCTCTCGCGAATTTTGATGTGTCAGCGATATTTACGAATCGGCGATTTTGCCGACTTTGACTCCCATTTTAGGCCAATTACATTATTCCAATCAACCAAATTCTTAGCTATTTCACTAGTATTACTTCTATTCTATCGATTGAGCACAAGAAATCGCCAAGTCAACTGTTTCAACTACAAAATAAAGTGATCGGAAATTGTTAATTTGGCCAATTTAACACAAAGTTCAAAATATTCCAATTTCAAAATAGGGTCCAGAATGAACAATGTAGGCATTCCTGGCACTAAACTAACATATCCTCTGTTCATTAGTTATGTTTTGAGGCTTTACAAATAATTCCATTTTGATTTTTTATTCACATAATGAATTTTTATTCACACCAAAAAATAGAAGATTTACTGTTATGCAATACTGTAATAATTGTATAAATATCATCACCATATTTGTGAATGCATATTAGACCCACCAGCTGACGTGTATTAGATGTGTGAGGTCGTTTGTTTACTCTTGAATATCGGCAAAAATTAACATTTCCGCTACTTTGAGCTCAGTTTCAAGCCATTTCCAGTGCAAAAACCAATCAAAATCATCTCTATTTCTGTAATATGTCTTCCATTCTATCAAATGAGACCAAGAAATCGCAAATACAACTATAAAAAACATACGAAAAAACACTGCAAAGTTGCTGTTTTAATCGAAAAATCATGATTTCATTTTTTTTCTCTCATTATACACAGTGTGCTGCAGGATCTGTTTTATGTGGTGCACACATACCACATAGATGTATTCTCTCATATCTAGGCCCAAATGTACCACTCACAGTTTATCAGAGTGAGCTGAGCTCATGGCGTAGATCTACGGTTTGGACCCTGAACGTAAAGCCGTAGATCTACGGGACGGACCCTGAAAGGGTTAATAAACAAGCACCAAACACAATGAATTAATGGTGAAATGTTTGAATGAGCGCACAGGTTAGTGTTCACTCAAGCATAAACAAGGCCAGACTGGCTCACGCAGCCTGTATGGGGGATGAGGGCAGGTGCGGGCAGGCGGACAGGTCTGGTACGCAGTACTAAATATGAGGCACAGTACAAAACTCGGTACAAAACTGAGCCAAAAAAAGCAGTCTAAACTCAAAGCGTACAATACTCACTACGACAAGGTCCTAAATGCACTAGAAGACAAAAAGAATGCAGATGTAATATATACAGACTTTGCAAAAGCCTTCGACAAGTGTGACCATGGCGTAATAGCGCACAAAATGCGCGCTAAAGGAATAACAGGAAAAGTTGGTCGATGGATCTATAATTTCCTCACTAACAGAACACAGAGAGTAGTCGTCAACAGAGTAAAGTCCGAGGCAGCTACGGTGAAAAGCTCTGTTCCACAAGGCACAGTACTAGCTCCCATCTTGTTCCTCATCCTCATATCCGACATAGACAAGGATGTCAGCCACAGCACCGTGTCTTCCTTTGCAGATGACACCCGAATCTGCATGACAGTGTCTTCCATTGCAGACACTGCAAGGCTCCAGGCGGACATCAACCAAATCTTTCAGTGGGCTGCAGAAAACAATATGAAGTTCAACGATGAGAAATTTCAATTACTCAGATATGGTAAACATGAGGAAATTAAATCTTCATCAGAGTACAAAACAAATTCTGGCCACAAAATAGAGCGAAACACCAACGTCAAAGACCTGGGAGTGATTATGTCGGAGGATCTCACCTTCAAGGACCATAACATTGTATCAATCGCATCTGCTAGAAAAATGACAGGATGGATAATGAGAACCTTCAAAACTAGGGAGGCCAAGCCCATGATGACACTCTTCAGGTCACTTGTTCTATCTAGGCTGGAATATTGCTGCACTCTAACAGCACCTTTCAAGGCAGGTGAAATTGCCGACCTAGAAAATGTACAGAGAACTTTCACGGCGCGCATAACGGAGATAAAACACCTCAATTACTGGGAGCGCTTGAGGTTTCTAAACCTGTATTCCCTGGAACGCAGGAGGGAGAGATACATGATTATATACACCTGGAAAATCCTAGAGGGACTAGTACCGAACTTGCACACGAAAATCACTCACTACGAAAGCAAAAGACTTGGCAGACGATGCACCATCCCCCCAATGAAAAGCAGGGATGTCACTAGCACGTTAAGAGACCATACAATAAGTGTCAGGGGACCGAGACTGTTCAACTGCCTCCCAGCACACATAAGGGGGATTACCAACAGACCCCTGGCAGTCTTCAAGCTGGCACTGGACAAGCACCTAAAGGCAGTTCCTGATCAGCCGGGCTGTGGCTCGTACGTTGGTTTGCGTGCAGCCAGCAGCAACAGCCTGGTTGATCAGGCGCTGATCCACCAGGAGGCCTGGTCACAGACCGGGCCGCGGGGGCGTTGACCCCCGAAACTCTCTCCAGGTAAACTCCAGGTAAACTCCAGGCGTGTGAAACTCAGGGTTCCACTGTACCTTGCCA